TAGTGATACATGCATCTTTGCTTCAGAAAGAAAACCAAGGATCCTAAATATTCCATGTTTTGGGCCAGGCGCGGTGGCTCAGGCCTGTAATCCTACCACTTTGGGAGGCCGAGGTGAGCGGATCACGAGGTCGGGAGATCGAGACCATCCTGGCTAACACGGTGAAACCCCGTGTCTACTAAAAAATACAAAAAATTGGCTGGGCTTGGTGGCGGGCACCTGTAGTTCCAGCTACTCGGGAGGCTGAAACAGGAGAATGGCGTGAATCTGGGAGGAGGAGCTTGCAGTGAGCCGAGATTACACCACTGCACTCCAGCCTGGGCAACAGAAACACTCCCTCTAAAAAAAAAAAAAAAAAAAAAAAAAAATCCATGTTTTGTATAGTAGACTCTGAAAAGTGGTAGAATTTACTGAATTAGTTTTTGTAGGCCCAAGAGGCAAAGGGCCCTGGAATTTTACTACGTAGATTCAAAAAGCAGTTTTTGAGCTCATATTACAATAGATGATAAGAAGAGCTGGCCTTTGTACCAGACACTATGATAAATTCTTTATTTTCATTCATCACACACTCCCAGAAAGTGTGATCAAGAGAAGCCAACACTGGCTTACAGTCCTAGGTGATAACCAACTAAACAGAGGTTGTGACACGTGCCAGCGTGCCAGCATAGAGGTTGCAGTGCTGGAAGCTGGCTGGAGCCATCAGGGACAACTTCAGAGAGGAAGTAACAGCTTGAACTGAAAACCGGAAAATAATTCAGAACTTGCTGGGCAAGTAAGTTGGGAGAAGAACTTTCCAGAGAGAGAATAAGCTGGGCAAAGACACTTGGCTTGAGAGGATGGTGTATGCTGGGGAAAGGCTGGCATAGTCTGTGCCGGGTTGTCCAATCTTTAAATTTCCCTGGGCCACATCGGAAGAAGAATTGTCTTGGGCCACACACAAAATACACTAACACTAACAATAGCTGATGAGTTAAAAAAAAAAAAAAATCACAAAAAAATCTCATAAAGTTTTAAGAAAGTTTATCAATTTGTGTTGGGCTGCATTCAAAGCTATCTTAGGCCACATGTGGCCCACGGGCCATGGGTTGGACAAACTTACTCTAAGGTATTTACCAAAAGGAACTGGGACATAAATAGGGTGAATGTTCTTTGCAGCATTGAGTGTGGAACCTTCATTATGATGTTATTCACAGTAGTCAAAAGGTGGAAACAACTAAGTGTCCATTGATGGATGAGTGGTTAAGCAAAATGTGATATATACACGCAATGGAATACTATTCAGCCATGAAAAGGAATGAAGTTCTGATATGTGCTACAACATGGATGGCCCTGGAAAACTTAACGCTAATTGAAATAAGCTAGACACAAAAGGACAAATATTGCATGATTCTGATTATATGAAATGTCTAGTAGATAAATTTATAGAGACAAAGTGGATTAGATGTTACTGGGGGCAGGGGGAAGGGGAAAATGAGGAGTTATTGCTTAATTGGTACAGAGTTTCTGTTTGGGGTGATGAAAAGGTTTTGCAAATAGTGCTGATGGTTGCACAACACTGTGAATGTACTTCCTGCCACTGAATCGCATACTTCAAAATGGTTAAAATCACATTTAAAAAATTCCATTCTCTGTTGATGGACACTTGGGCTGTTACTACTTTTTTAGCATTTTGAATAAAGCTGCAATAAACATTGACGCACAAATATCTGTTTGAGTTCCTGTTTTCAGTTCTTTTGGGTCTGTACATAGGAGTATGCTAGGTATTTTATGTTTTATATCTATTTTACTGCAATTAAAAAAAATGTATAAAAGACTGGCCTGTGTGAAGACCTCGGAAGGTAAGAATGGCTGGAGCAGCAGCTGGATCATGAAGGGCTGTGCATGCCCTTGCTTAGGAGTTGGTTTTATCCTGAAAGCAGGAACCGTGGAGGGATTTTGAATGAGGGGGTCTTAAAGTTAGATTTGCATTTTAGAAAGATCTAAACTGCCATTACCAGGAAGAATATTAGGGAGAATATTCACCTGCTGGTCCCAAGGATTTGGGGCAGGGCAGGCCTCTGTCTGTGCAGAAACGAAGTCTGATAAAAGGGCAGTTAGGGAAAGGGCTTATACTGAGCATATTTTTCTAGTGTAACTGAACAGCTCAGCCATGATAACCTGCTGGAAGTGATGCAAGAAATGTATTGAACGACCTAAAGTACCGGCCATATTTTTTTCTTATGTCTGGAAATCTCAAAAGCACATGCTCACTTCTATAACTGTAATCATTTGATTAGCATGTACTGAAAGGATTGAAATGACAATATGTTTTGTTTCTTCAGTAGCTGAGAGACAACCTACAAAAACGTATTGTTCTTGTTCTGGAAATGGCTCTTTCTATTGCCCTTATTTCTCCATTTATCTTTTTTTCTAGGAAGTACCTGTAGACCAGGAATACTGGGCCAGAGAAAAAAATACTGTCTAGTTTAGCAAATTGCAGAATGGACAGCACTGAATATTGGAACATAAAAAGTTTTTAAAGGTGGGGGGCTGGAACTGGCAGAGTATAAGTGGCACTGCATGTTGCTCAGCTAAACTGCATGCTCTGTGAACAATATGAGCAACAGCCCTGCTATTTCCGCCGATGAGAGCCCATTGCCTACCGGATGCCAGGCACTGTGTTTCCTCCTGCCCTTAAAGTCTTTCTGTAAAATAGATTTTTGTCATCTGCTTGGAGCATGTTTAATGAAAGCGTTCAGGCTTTCTAGAGATTGAGATGAAAATATAATTAACATCTTTGATTTCTGTGCCATCAAAGAGCTCAAACTGTTCTCTAGATATGTTGGATGCTTGAGTGGTTATTAAACCCTTTGAAATTAAGTGACAGACTGAGTCCTGTGTGCTGATGTTTAAGACAGACAGACACACACTCTCAAACTCACACACACCAGGCTTATGGGGAAGAAGTCAAAGATGACAACAGTGTCTAATTGGAGCTCCTCCAGAGTCTGGCTTCCTGTCATACTAGTTCACATATATCCTGTGTTTTGAAAATGGCAGGTTTTGGCTTGTGATCAACCAGGAGGGAAACATGGTTACCGCTCGCCAGGAACCTCGCCTGGTCCTGATTTCCCTGACCTGTGATGGTGACATCCTGACTCTCAGTGCAGCCTACACAAAGGATCTACTACTGCCCATCAAAACGCCCACCACAAATGCAGTGCGCAAGTGCAGGTAAGGAAAGGGCAGGTCGTAGCCCTTGCATGAATGAATAGTCATGCAATTTTGAGAAAGCGTAAACTCTAGAGGGAATCCTGAGAAACATATCAATAATGAACTGTTGATTGCATGTGTACCATATGTAGAACCAAGTCTTCAACATTATGAAGATCTAAAAGAAGGAGAAAGAAGGAAGCAGCTTCAGAAACTTGTGTTGTTGAGATGACAACACATTGAAAGTGCTAGGTAGAAACCCATGAGAACAAAAGCATATTGTCATGTCAACAAGAGAAAAATAACAGCACCCAAAGATCAAGCACAAAAATGGGGTAGGAGTGGTGGGGGCGAGTGTCCTAGCAGAGGTGAGATTCGATCTACATATTCTCATAGAACTTTTTCTACTTGGCTTGGAAAAACTGGGTACCTTCCAAATCTCAGTTAGGAAAGGAGTTGCAAATGGCTATGTGACCCATAAGATTTAGTTCTAATGAAAGAACCAAAATAGAAATGAACAGCTCTAGCTAGAAGAGTGATCCAGCCAGTGGCTGCTCAGCAGTCAGTGTCAGAATGAGGCTGGGGATGCAGCCCAGGAGGGTGTTGTGTACAGAAGCCCTTCCCTCAACATCAGAAGGGCTGCAGCGAAGCAATTCTTCTAGGAAAACTAGCTTTGCCTCTAAGCAGTCATGTCTAGAGTTGATTTCTTATCTCATTACGGCAAAATTAAAGTTGGTCTAGTTATATTCTTGTTAGAGTTTCTGCATTTGGAATAAAAATGCACTGTGAATGTTACATGTAGTTTATAGCCTATCATAAAAAAGTAGTATCACCTCAAAAAATGTAGTTATCTGAAAAATGTCTAAAGACCCAGAAAAGTTCACAAAATGCAATACTGATATAATTTCTACATTTTAGTTTTAAATATGATAATATACTTTTATTGAAATTGGTGGTTTTTCAGATTAAAAAAGTAGTACATATTCATTGTTGAAAAATTGGGAAATACCAAAAAAAAAAATAAGAAACTAAATCTGTGATAACTGTAATTAATATTGTGGCATATTTTCTTTCTGTCTCTATGCCTGTTACTTAGAAAACAAATTGAAATAATACAAAAAATCCTTTCATATTGTTTATATACTTAAACTGATAATGTTGAGTATTTTTTCATATTGTTAAAAAATCTTTAAGGATACCATTTTTCATGTTGGCATAATACTTCATTGTGTGAGTGTCATCTAATGCATTTTAACATGCCCCATGATTAAACATTTTGATTGTCTTAATTTTTTTCCAGATATTAAGAAGAATGTGATGAGTATCTTGGCATAAATCTTTGTTTATATCATTTGTTGTTTTCTTAGGAAAAAATTCTAGCAGTGGTTTTGTTTGAAATAAGAATATGGATCCTGCAGGCTTTTGATACATCTTGCTAAATTGTTTGCAGAGTGGTTTCACCAATTCCATTTTAACCATTATATTAAAAAATATTTTGCCATTTTTATGAGCAAAAACGATAATTTCTTGTTACTTTAATTTGCATTTTTCCCTGAATGAGGTAAGATTTTAAATATTTATATTGCAATTTGTATTTCATGTTTATCCATGTCATGATTTGTGTTTATTTGCCATGGTTAGATATTTACCCATATTTTCTTATAGTTAATTTTTTGTTTAATTTTCAATTCATTTGAAATTGTTTCAAAACTTTTTTCACAGTCCCATATGGGCATTTGGTCCGTGCCCAAAAGACTAAACAAGGGCACGCTTGGAAACTGCAAACTGAAAAGGCTTAGACATGCTACAGTAGTATACAGACTCTTCATCCAAAGATTCCAAGGATCCTCTGGACTCCGGTTTCTTTTGACAGCCCAACCTATTCTCTTATGAGGAAGTTGTAACCTCAGCCCACAGTTTCTTAAAGATTTCTGATGAGTTCTTGGGGCTCTGGGGTCACTTTCAGAAGGTCGTGATCACAGGCAGTACACCTGTTTTCATGGTTGAAGATGTTACTTGATCTTCTCACGTGCCTTGCCTGCTACTAATAAGATACAGAGAATTAGGGACTTTTGCTGGGGATTATTCAGGCAAACAGCCTCAAACCTCAAACCATCTCAAGCCATGCCTACATTATCTTTGTCAAAGGGTCAAAGGTTATAGAAGCATTTGGAATTTTATTTTAATTCTTTGCTTGCACTCTTTGGAACAGTGTACAGGTGGAGTGCTGGGGCCAAGATACAGCAGAGGCCAGTGAGAACTCAGGAGAAACATGGGAGGAGCAGGAAGAAGGCAGAACAAATTCTACTCGCTGAAAGACCTCAAGTTCTGGGTGATTATGAACCTGAACCCCAGGATCTAGAAATAGAGGTTGCAATGGAAATCAATGTCAGATTAACAGGGCAGATGCCTAAATGGCCCAAGATAGATGCAAATGTTTTGACTTTGTAAAAATAATTACTGCGAACTGAAGCCCTAAGGAGTCAAAGCAGCCTTCCTGTTTACATCCTCTGCTGTGCGCCCTCACACCCTCCTGTAAAAGCAACTAAGGGAAGCCCTGGGCTGCCGAATGGCAAGTTGAGACTGAAAGGGTACCTTGGTGAGCTGTAAGGGTTTGACTCTGGAGAAAGGAGGGTGATTTTTTTTTCCTTAGGCACCAGCAAAGAGGCATCTAACAAGGCAATGACCTTCAAGGCTGTCTCCATACCTAGATATTTGGTAATGCTGGCATTTCACAAGATGCTTCTGAAATCAGCATTTCAGACATTAAACTGCACACACACACAGACGCTAAGCCCTTCACATACACTCAGTTCTAGAACTGGTGAATTTGATTTTTGGGGAAAAGTAAAAAATTGTTTGGAGCTAAACCCTGTGAATAAGATAATGATAGGACCTTTTTTTTTTTTTTGGTTAAAAAGTGAGGTTAGGCTTAAAAGTAGTAATAAGTAGATATGATTAATAATAGGTTAGAATGATTACTTCCCAAGGTGACTGCTCTGAAAGGTAATATCCATTTGGGTGTATAAATTTGGGTACATTTATTTTATTCATTTTATTTATTTTTCATCTTGATCCAGAAAAGAGTAACACAAACACTCCTGGTCTTTGTAAATGTTCTCATTACTTCATAGGCCTTGGGTGCATATTTCAGCCCTCTGATTCTCAGAAAGTTAATTTAGAATGGGTGGGGTGACAGTGTGCGAAAAGGTATCAAGTCATATACTACAGCAGTGCACTTTTCTACATGAGTGTTACACTTCAATAAAAATTTTTAAAAAATTTATGAAAACTTTGAATACACTAACCTCACTGCTTTATGTAACCCAGACACTGTTAGTAATGATTTCTCATTTTAGATATAAAGCAATAAAATAAAATTATATAAAAATATATAGGATACTATACTCAATATTATTTCACAATATAAAAATCCATTTGTACATTATTATTAGAGAATGGATGCTTTTGTTTGATTAAATGTTTGATTTGTGGACTAACTATACAAAGATAGATTGAAATAACTTGGTTGGAGGACCCTAGGTCATTACCGCCTACTGAGCACATCCCAGTCCTAAGAATTGTTTGGGGGCTTCTTACAGATTGTTCCTAATCCTCACAACAAAGTTGTGCTCCTACCCCCATTTTATTGATGAAGAAACTGAGTCTCAGAATAAGAAACTATCACCAAGGTCATGGAGCTAGTCATTTGTGGAAATGGAATGCCCAGCCAAGTAGACTTACTTGATCCACTAAGCTTTCTCAAACTTCCAGCATTTGCATAACACCACCATGACAGTAGGCCAAACCATAAACCACCTGTACTCTTATTTATTTAATGTTTTTCTTTAAATTGATTCAGCTTAAAAACTAATCTTAAACACATTTATTTAAAAAAGAAACTTTATATAGCTACCTATATCATTTGCCAGCTATATGGCTTTATAAGGCTACCTATATAATTTATATATATGGGTTTATATATAAATTTATGTGGCTACCAGAAACCTTATATGGCTACCTGTATACAAATTTTATATTGCTACCTATATAATTTGCCAGAAATTAACAAACACTCAATATGCTAAAACATTACTAAATTCTAGCTAGAAACTGTTGCCTACAGAGGTCTCTGGACCTAAGGTGTGTTCTTTCTTTGTTAAAAGAGGTGATTATCAAGGGTTGCTAAAAGGTAAAGATTTATTACCACTAAACTGAAATTTTCTCTCTGTGCAATTCACCGTTATTTAATGCTATACCCAGGTGCCATCTGCAGTTATCTTGAATGCCAGCAGTGGTAATGGTCCTGCACTTTGTGAAACGCTGGCCTACACCATAGCATTTATTTTCCTCTCTATAGCTGTGAAATTCATATAACGCCAAACAGCCCTGCACATGGCTATGTGCTGGAGAGTAGGAACTTCAAATCCTGCAAAGTTATAACTTGCAATCAAATCTAGTAGATTATTATTGTTATTATAAAATAAATAGACTATTACTGTTAATGTTTGTTATATATAAAGTTATTATCTGTAATGTTTTAGACTTTATAGAACATTTTCATATTGTTGCTGTTACTATACTGGCAAAGTATAGCCAGGCCTGTGAATAAAGATTTCTGGTCGCTATTCAGCTGGGTGAACTAGATTTTGCAGTAATTCTAAGTTTACACCGATACATTAGTTTTCTTCTGGAGAACTCAGTACATTTTCAAATATATGATTTCATTTCATCCTCCCCACATTCCTTCCAGGTAGGGAGACACAGTTGTACAAAACTTGATTTTTTAAAATGGGGAAAGCAAAGCTTAAAGGGGTGCTTTCACTTTCATGTGGGCTGACGCAGGTTTGGAGTCAGAGCCAGGACTAAAATTACATCTTCTGGTAATTAAGATATGACAGTAATGTTACAGCTAGAAGCAGCTTTTCTGATATAACTGGCACATATTAGGGTGCATGGATTTTCAAAGCCATGTTTGCCTTTTGTTCCTGCCACCCCTGCAGAGTGCATGGCCTGGAGATTGAGGGCAGAGACTGTGGTGAGGCCGCCGCCCAGTGGATAACCAGCTTCCTGAAGTCACAGTCCTACCGCCTGGTGCACTTCGAGCCTCACATGCGACCGAGACATCCTCACCAAATAGCAGACTTGTTCCGACCCAAGGACCAGGTGAGAGGTTCTGCTGCCTCTATTGGTAGAAAGCAGTCACCCCCAGCCCGGGGGGCTCAGGTGGCATCTCTGATGACCTCGGCTCTCTTGTTTTTGGGGCAGCCCTCTGGTAGCTTAGACCACAAGCAGTAGGCAGAAATAAAGCCCTTCCCTTGGAAGCATCATTTGTTTCTTCATTTGGGGGACTCTTGAATTTTTGCCCTTGAGCATCTACCTTCCTATTTGTGTAAGCATTCTGATGCCAGTAGGGTTTCAAAACTGTCCTGCACCAGTGTTTTTTTTTTTCATTCCATTCTGTAATTGCACGTGGAGTCCAGAATTTTTAGTTTGCAGTTGTATGTCAGATTCCAGCTATGCAAGTTGGCATGGGTATGGAGATACACAGACTCAAATGATCAGCCTTAATGGCATAAAGCTCTAAGGATTCATCATGAAAGCAGGGTTGGTAGCACCATATACTGCTTTTACCATGCGCATAAAAAAGAAATTATGCTGTAGTCCTTGCTACTAAGGAGGCTGAGGTGGGAGGATTGCTTGAGCCCAGAGAGTTGAGGCTGCAGTGACCTGTGGTGGCGCCATTGCATTGCAGCCCGGGCTACAAGGAGAGCCTGTCTCAAAATATATAAATAAATAAACAAGCAAATGCATAAATTATGGTCAACATAAATATTAATTTGCAAGTTGCATAAAAATAAGTGTTCATGGAATTAGTGAGCATTTAAATCAAACATAATGAGGTCATCAAACTCAACCAACTTATTAAACATTCGAGAAATTGGAGACTTAGAAAGGTGCAGTGATGTCCCCAAGGGCACATGCCTTGTGGCAGCTTAGGATGGATTCTGAGTCCTTGTTCCCTTCATTCCACCATGCAGTTTCTGCTGTCTCAAGGCTATTTAAAGCTTCTGAGTCACTGTGACTTCTATTAAAAGAATAAGAGAACTACTTTGAAAGATTGTGTGTGGGGTGGGGTGGAGCACGGAGGGTATGTCTAGGAGCTAGGCACACCTAGCCACTGAAAAGTTGGTGTGCCACGTGTTATAACAATGTGTATTTCCCTATCAGATTGCTTACTCAGACACCAGCCCATTCATGATCCTTTCTGAGGCGTCGCTAGCGGATCTCAACTCCAGGCTAGAGAAGAAAGTTAAAGCAACCAACTTCAGGCCCAATATTGTAATTTCAGGATGCGATGTCTATGCAGAGGTAATGCTATGCCCCTTTGCATCTTTCTTGGATTTGACTTCTTTTTTAAAGTATGAAAGTCTTTGACATTGGATTCGATTATTCTGAAGGGTGCATTATTTATCAACTCTGTAATACATAACAATTTGATTTTTAGATTTATTCACCTAATAAGTGCAGACTTCTGTATAGAGGATACAGATATTGATGGGTCAGAGACTGTCATCAAGGAAGCAGTTCAGTATCTGTGGCTTCTAAGGAGAATTCTGAGTTGACAGGTTCGTTGTTGAGTCAAATTTTCTTGCACAGACTACATGATCTGTGTGGGCCATGGAACAAAGAAAGTGTATGCTCCTGTCTTGTCAAAGGATGGTCTTCCTGTTTAGTAGATGGCTCTCTCGGAGAAGACAGGCATTTACTGCAAGGCTGCTGGGTGAGGGTTGGGAGAGATTGTTGCCCCTGAGCTTGATGGCACGGCCCTAAAACGCCTGCAGTGCCACCTTCCATCTGCCCTCAGATGTCTGCGTGGTAACTTAGCTTGAATAGCCCTGAGGCTTTGTTTCCGGGATTCCGCAGGATTATGGCAGCAAATTTACTTTGTAATAAATAGCCTTTGGCTGTTTAACCTGATTCTCTCCCTGGGCTTCCATGAAGGCAGAGGTTGGTGGCCTAGAGGCTTGGGGAGTGGCCACCAGCTGTGGATACTCAACAGAAGCCCTGACCCCCAGCTAGGAATTCAGGAGCTCTGGTTGTGCCTCATGTTTATGTTGAGAAGGGAGAGGTAAAAGGGACAATATAGTGGTTCTTACGTTTGCCCATTTCCTCCATAACAGGGAAAAATGGAGTCAAAGCAATTGAGTTTTAACCTTTTATACTCAGAGGAACCAATTCTGTTCTTCACTTTTGCTGTACGGAGGCAAAGCTGTGCTGAAAGAGAAATAATATAAGAATTTGGTTCCCACATTCAAACAAGAGGATGTGAGGGCTGGTTTCAGCTTCTGTGCTGGCTTCTGCATGACTTTGAGCAGCACTGCTATGTCCCACTTACCTTGCCTGAACGATGAGATAATCGTATTTCTGCCTAGGGTTACCTTAAAGGTCTGTTGAAGGATCAATTTGGATAATGTAATTTATGAGGTGTATAAATGCAATATCAATCGACGGAGGATAATGAAAGTACTCCCAAATCCACTGCTAATGCTTTATATAAAATACTCTTGGCTCCCACCTTCCAAGGGTAGCGTTTCTTCTAAAGGTGGCAGAGAACTTCCTAGTGTGAGGCAGGTGGACTGTGTGCATATCCCCCACGGTCCTGGGTTGGGTGTCTCTCAGTGCTTCTTTGTGACAAGGGAGCACTGCCTGTTCTGCTCCTGTGCACAATGGGCCAGCCTGACTCAGACAACAGGAAAATAATCACTGTTTGGTTGCCTTTGACCATGTCCTTGAGATTCGTCTTCCACTAGCTGTGGCTAGGAGAGTCATTTTTCCTGAGAACATTCCTTCTCAGGAAAAGAGAAATGAGTGGGGAGGGTTTTGAATAAACACTTGTGTTTCACTTAAGTATGTTGTCTCTTCTGTGCCTCACAGAGCCCAGCAGGGTAAAGCTATCATTCCTATCTTACAGGAGAGAAGAGAGAGGCTTGGGGAGGTGAGGTGGCCTGCCCTAGGCTATACCACAGCAAGGAGGGGCTGGGTTTTGAACCCCAATTGTCAAGGCCAGAGGAACCCTGAGAATTCTAGGGCATATCCGTGGGGCTGGGACAGCTGGATTCCACTCCGCCTGCTTCAGCAAGTGACCACACAAGCCTGAACAGGTCACCGAACCTGCCGAGGCCTCTGCTTCTTGCAGTTGTAAAACGTGGGCAATTCCAATGACTCCCTTGCCTGATGGGAGCTGTGAGAATCAAGGTCGATGACAATTTGTGGAAAAGTTCTAGGACATTAAGTACCACAGAAAGGTAAGGAAGAGTTTCATTCCTGGGAGTCTGACTCAGACCCCCAGCTTTCTCCCTATGATCGGCTTTAAGCTTTCTTTCCC